ATAAATTTATTTGTTGTGCTTAAATTATATGATAGTCAGGCGATAATGTCTCCATTGTCTACGAACAATTTTTATTTCATGATGATTAACTTCGGATAATGTTAGTAATAACAGTTATCAGTTCTTATCTCTTATGATATGGATTGTTACGTATTTTTTTCAATCCTATATCCTATATTCCTGGTTCTGAATCGAAAATTAGGAATATTAGGATGTTAAAAAAGAAAAAAAAAACAAATTTTGCTGCCCTTTTTCTGCCCTTTCTGCTCTTAAATTAGCATCACAATCGTTATGCTGACAAGATCCGTGTTTGTATTCTCGAGCTAAGAATACCACACAACTTAGTGCATCGAAACGTCTTATTTCTATACTTTTGTTTCCTCGGGATTCTTCATCCCACTCGTTTTTCCTAGCACTTTTCTGTATTTCTGCATGCTTTTAGATAAAGAATATGAAATTTCAAATTTAGACTTAGAAAAAATTTAAAAAAAAAAGAAAATTTGAAAAAGTATTTCCGTCATTCGTGAGCTCACTGGAACAGTAGATTCTTGCATAACAACAAATTGGCTCTTATTTTGCAGAGATATTTTTTCTGCAAAAATTTTTGGATTCTGACAAAAACACTTTTCCAAAAACTAAATTATATTTCTAATTAGTACTGCTGCTCATATAGGGATTTGGAAAGCACACAATTAATGTTGTATCCAGCATAAAACTAATCCCTTTCATGTCCTGTTTGTTGATTACTAGGCTCTATGTCCCGCGAAAACAACTAACAGCTATTGCCTCTTCAAAATTTCTAAAACTAATCGGAAGACAGGACCCCCTCTGTGTTTGCCCTCTTTGAGAAGCAAAAGCATTCAGAGAAGTATATCCCAAGATAGCCTTGTTCTAGCAGTAACCAGTGGCTACCGCAGTTGTCGATGGTCCTCTCTTTTGAGGGTTGCTCAGAAGCGACCTGATTGCAGGTTTGACTTTCTGGCACGCATCATTTTACCAATTTACCATCGAAACGAATGAACGAATCGTAGAACGACTGGTTCTCCCACTGACGGAATCGAGTTGTCGACCGTCGGGAGTACTCCGCCCTGCACCATGCCCACCGAATTTTAAGGCTAGTGACAGAGCAGGATAGTCTAAATCGCCTTTATTCAAAATCTGTTTTTTTTTTTTTCCAGCAATCAGTAAACTTCGAGTTTATTTTTGGCTCCAACTCAATTTTCTTACGATTTCCATGTTTTAACATTTCCATTATAGTTTAGAATAAGGGTATACTTCCTTACAGTAATTCCTGTTTTATGTATGAGATATAATAGTGATGAGTCGTCTTCTTCGTAACGTACGTGATTTACGTGTTAGTTTTTGAACCTTCGTTATCTGTTTTCTTCATTTTGAATAATATCTAAGGTCTTTTGTGTATTTTCCCGTGATTGTGTGCTCTGTGTGCGCAATTTTATGTGCTTACATGCTTACGTATGTGTCTGTATGTTTGTGGATGTATGTGTGTGCACGCACGCATACGTGTATGTGTGCGTACGTCTATGCGTGTATCCGTATGTATGTCTACGTATCAACGTGTACATGTATCATGTGCCTATGCATGTACGTGTATGTGAATTTGTATGCGTGTGAAGGAACTTGTATGCGTATGCATTTGTGCAAGCTCATATTTTTACGTGAAACAAAACAAACAATTGGAATTTCATGCTTTTAATGTTGTTGTTATTTTGTCACTTTTAAATGTTTGCAGTTTTACGGTTTGAGAAATTATATTTGTTTTTTGTTGGAAAATAAAAATTAATCAGGGTAGGATTACAAAGCAAATTAAAAGACAGAAGGAAATGATGAAAGGGG